TGAAATTTTTTGAAATTTTTTAAGTTTTGTAAATTTTAGGATTTTTGGCTTACAGAAAAATGTCATAAGAATTACTTCTAGAACTCTTCGCAATGATGCTAGAACTCTTTTCAGAACTCTTAGAACTCTGAATTTTAAAATTTTGAAAATTTTAAAGTCCAGTAATTTTTTTGATTTTGGATTTAGAACAAAATGTCATTAGAAATTCTTATAGAACTCTTTATGACGATGCCAGAACTCTTTTTCGAACTCTCAGAATTCTGAATTAAAATTTTTTTTTAAATTACAAAAATAAAAATTAAAAAAAAGTAATATTAATTTTCTCATATTATTAATAATTTTTTTAAAAAAGTAATAAGATTGTAAATCCTGAGAAAAAGTTAGCCCAATTTTAAAAAATAATGATTGAAATTCATAAATTTGTACCAAAGTTATAGCAATTTGAAAAAATTTGACAACTTGAAGCGAATTCTGTCGCGTGCGGCTGCCGCACATCTATCTCCGAGTTACCCCACTCTACCGTCGCGAGCGAGTTAATTAGTAAACTATACTTTGACTCGATTTTTCATTGCTTGCAGGAATTCAATTATTTTCAAAACATTTTTAATTGAATTCCTCAGTAGAATTCAAATATTTTGAAATATTTCTATAAAATTCAATTATTTCCTAAAATTTTAATAAATTCTTCGAAACAATTCAACTATTGTTATAAATACTAAAATTCTTTGCAAGAATTAAATTATTTTTAATTCAATCTGAATAGAATTTCGCGAAAAAATTAAATTATTTTCAAAAATTTCCATAAAATAATTCAATTTCAACAAGAATTTAAAATTCTTCTCAGGAATTCAATTATTTTCAATACAATTTTAAGAAAATTTTTCTTCATATAAAATTCAATTGCTTTCAAAATTTAAAATTAAAATTATTAAAGAAACAACATTTAAATATATTTCATTAAACTCCATTATTTTAAAAAAATTCAAAGAATTTCTTCAAAAGAATTTAATTAGAATTTTTTAAAATTTCAATAAAATTCATCGCGAGAATTCATTTATTTTCATGAATAAAAAAATCCTCTAAGGAATTCAATTCTTCAATTAATATATATATTTGAAAATAAAAACTTCGAATAATTTAAATTAAACTTTTTGAAAAAAAAAAATTCTACAGAATTCTTAGTTTAAAAATATGAAAAATTCAGATTTTTAAAGATTTCTATTTGAAACTTTTTCAAATTTCAATTACTTCGAAAAATTTAAGCTATAATGCTTTTAATATTCAATTATTATGTAAAATTTTAACTGAAATTCACTTTTAAATCAATTTTTTTAGAAAATTCTACGAGAAATTAGATTAAAATTGTATTAAAAATAATTGAATGTCTGTAACAAATTTTATTAAATTGAGAAATGTTTTTGAAAATAATTTAATTCTGGAGAAAAATTTTATTATTTATATAAAGATAATTGAAATTTTGAATAGAATTTTTTTTTAACTTTTCACCATAATTGAATTTCTGAGAAGAATTTTATTACTTTTGAAAAAATAATTGAATTCTTATTGAGACGAATTTTAATATTTCTTCTTAAATAATTGAATTCTTTTGTGAAATTTTATTGAAATAGTAGATATTGAAAATAATTGAATTTTGATAAATTATTAAAATTAATTAAATTTCTACGAAGAATTTTATTAAAATTATTTTGAAAAAAATTGAATTGTTAAAAAGAATTTCATTATAATTTTTGAAAATAATTTAATTCTTTCAAGAAATTTCATTAAAAATGTATTGACAATAATACCTAAATTCTAATAAATAAATTATAGCAAAGATTTTTACACGGAGAAACTTTTAATACCACTAATTCTTAAAACTGGTGAGACATTTTAGTATGTTAGGTTAGATTCAAGGGAAAAACGACATAGGTTATAGAAATTGCTATTGAGACTATCAAAAACACTCATTCAGTATATATTTTACAGTTCTTCATAAGGAAACTAACGAAAATTAGTATGTTGTTTTAGAAAGAAAATAATAATTTTTGCAAAGTTGGGAAAGCCATGAATTAAAAAGAAACACAACAAATTAATTGTCTATAGATACTCATAGAGACGATAGTGATACTTGGATCTGATGGTAGATGGCATTAGTGTATGTCACTGTAACTGTAGGTAAATATATTTAACACGACGTAAGAACCTAACCTATATTATTAACGCACACACGCACACGCAAGTAAAGACACGACGATTGGTCACGGAAACCGAAAGATCGCACGATTCGTTAGAAGTACACAGCTGAATCGTCCTTATATATTAAACGAGTGGAAAAATATGTGCCTTCGAGAGAGAGCATTTTTTAAAATAACTTACTAATCAAATTATGTAAATAAGTAAAAGTCGTGAAAAAAATTATGTTATATTGAGGAACAGTTCTTGAATTTAATTTGGCATGAGGAGACATTCACGTTTATTAATAAAAGGTTTTTTTCTTTCATACACGTGTGAATTTCAACTTCGAAAACATTAGGGTTAGTTCGCGACGTCAGGTGATGGACTCGGTGATGCTCGGGCGAAATCGGTTAAGTCCGCCCGCAGTCCTTCCAAAATTGGTATGTTACGTTAGAATGTCTGTTATATATTCTATCTATATGTGGAAAAAAGGTTAGAATTACCGTATTATTTCACAAACAAAAACTAGCATTTTATTCTTTTCTAAAGAAAAATAAGACTATTTCTAATGCAGATAGTAATTTTTGTACACCGAAGGTTGCTTAATATATAACGAACTTATCATATTTTCGTATTAATGTTGAAATTATTAGCACAACGCACGAAAAATCCTCACATTCTAACGTACTTTTAGAATAAACATAACCAAATATATTTAATATTATAAGAAAAAGTTTCTCCGTGTAAAATAATTAAATTTCTTTGATGAATTTTAATAAAATGTTTAAGAATAATTACATTTTTCGAGAAATTAGATTCAAATTGTATTAAAAATAATTGAAATTCTGCCATGAGTTTTATTATTTATGAAAATAATTGAAAACAAATTTTTTTAATATTCAGGGTTGCCACAAAACATCGATTTTAAAATTCCATGACTTTTCTAGGTTTTCCAGACCATTTTTTAAAAAATTCCAGACCCAAAAATAAAATTGTTTTGGCGTATGTTTTTAGCTAATTACGACAAAAAATATAAAATCCTTCAAGTAAATTGTTAATAAAATAAGTTATTAATTTTTAATTTTATTAATAACAAAAATTTATGTTAAAATTTGTGAGATTATTTGAGATACGCTCCGAAAAAAGGTGTGAAGCAAATCTTAGGAGCAAATCTCTTTAAATTTAAAAAATTTAGTTTAGTTCAGAATTTTTCACAATTAAACAGGTATTTTAAACATTTTAATGTTAGAACCCCTTTAAAAAATTTCAAAAGATCGAAGTCGGGGAAATCAATTACTATAAATATAAAAACTAATTTTTATAGAGAAACATTTTGTGAAAGAAATGAATATTTCATGTGACAAATTAAAAATTTGTTGATAAAAAATAAAACAATACGGTTCTGGGTTTTAAATTATTCAATTTTAAAATAAAAAAAAGCTAACTCATTGTCAGATTATTTAATAACTGAAAACCTTAAAAAAAACTAATCACTGATTTTACAAAGTTTTTTATTATTATAAAATTTTTAAAAAATTTTTATAAATAAATAAAAAATTTCAGAAATTATTTATTAGAAATTTGTCTTCAGCTAAGTGTGAAAAAGTATATAAAATATTTACTAAAAGGGAATTTGAAGTTAAGAAACATGAAATTCAGAATACGTGACAAATCGGATTTCTATTATGGAGGTGCAGCAGACGCACGTGCTATTGGTGTTCTTCTACAACAACAATTGCAGGCAAGAGATTCTGGGAAAGATGAACACTTTTTGTTTTTGAATATAATATCGAACATGAATCCCCCCCTTCAAAGTATTGAATTTTCAAGAGGGAGCAGCACCAACCAATTAATTAGAATTAAACAAATGATTGTTTAAAAAATTATATTTAATATATTCTTTCTAATTTATTCTTTTTTATTGTAATAATGAATATTACAAAAATATAATCACTGATAATTGCTTAACAGATTTAACTTCAAAATTTATTTAATTAATTTACTAATTTAATTTTATGTCAATAACATTTAAATGTTGTTTTTTTTTACTTTGTCTTTATTTTATAATCAAACAAACATATTTTCTAATTCTAGAATGTTTCATAATTTAATATTAAAATCTATTATTATTAAAATGTACTTTTAATGGAAAACAAAAGTATTTATAATTTTATGAACAATTAAACATATATGTTTAAAATTAAAATTTAGTTTTCTCAAAAGAAGAAGAAAAAATGTTTTCAAAAAACATTCGCATCTGACACCATTACATCGATTTTCAACAGGGACGAACTTTAGAATTTTGATACCTAATTATAATACTAGGTAAATCTAATTTTTAAAAATAATAATTAAACTATAAAAAGGTTCGATTTAAAAAGTAATTTTATTAACGTACGTAAAAAATTATTTCTTAATAACTGAGACATGGAAAAGAAGCTGTACATGCATAAGTGTGCATTTGAGAAATGCTCTCACCTCACAAACACAATCAAGTATATACATCAAATACTACATGCCTTGTCTTCCGACACACAGGGAGGATATTTCACAAGAAAAAAGTGTAAATAAAACCTTAACTTTGCGATATGTTTGTTTTTTGCACAAAAAAAGAAATAATTGGTAATAAATGCTGCTTTATGAAATACTAGACTAGCGTTGTTTATATTATATACACAAAAGACATCAAACTCCTGCATAGAGAGCGTAAACAAAATGGATGTTTTTCTAAGTGACAGGTCAAGTCGTACACTAGTTGGAAAAAAAGTGTCTAAATCAAAACATCGCTTTTATTTGAAGAAGAGTTTAAAGAAAATTTCACTTACCAAGTCTCGGCTATTTAAAAACTTTCAATTTTGACTGATGTAAATAGCGCAATCAGCCGACTCCGAGAAAATCGCGAACAGCGAATTTCACCACTCGATTGTTACATTCTTGAGTGAAAACTCTGTCACACTAAACACTTTCACTCAATCACTATAATTCATATTGGCACAAACAAAAATTCTACAAGTTCGATTTCACAAAACTTATTACATTAAACATCAAATCATTATTTGTTATTTCCGACGCCAAAAAACTACGTCTGTAATCGACATAAATCAGCTACAATCTGCAAGAATCTGCGCTGGCGCTGATCAGTGATCACATTCTGTGTATTCGTCAGGGCTCGAGTATAAAGCAGCGTACACAATGGTCTCAGCTGCCAAGCGCAGGCAGAATTTAGAGTGAAAGAGAGATAGACAATTGGAGTGAACGAGAAAGTAAATAATTTCGTTAAAAAGGGAAAAAGTTTAGCCAATAACACCTTCCGATTCAATGGAAATAATTCTAATAGAAAATTCTTATTGGTTGAACGTTTTGTAACTAGGCCTTGAGTGTAAATAAAATAAATAGAAGAATTAAGTTATTTAAAAATAAGAAATTATTGTATAAGAAATAGAAAAAATTGAAGGTTTTGTATCAAAATTCGTGGTGATTTCATAGTTTATGAGGCAAACACAAAAATTCCGAATTTTCTTATGAATTCTATTTTAATTTTTTCCAGTATTTTTAATAAAAATATTTTACTTTTCTTGAAAAATTTTTTTATTCTATTTTTTTAAATTGCTAATTTTTTATTTTAAAAAGAGAAGGAAAGAAACGAGAATCGATCATTTGATTGTTCAAGATTCGAACATCTAAGGCAAGGTCTGAACGCACCTTTATAGTTTAGTACGGGACACAAAAAAAGATTCCAAGAATTGTTATTATTTTTTAATTGTCTCTTCTTCAAAGATACATAAAATGGGTTCAAATTGGACGAGAACATATTTCACCCATCAAGATACAATGCCTAAAGCATTGGCACCACCAACTTTTGATCCTTTGATGGGATTTCCAAATGGTAGAAAAGAAAGAGGTGAGAATTCATTAACTTAACCTCAAATGTGCAATATTTATTTAGATTTCACTCTTCAAAATTTTATTACTTTCTTTAATTTTCTAAACATAAATAGAAATGATTCTTTAAATTTTTTTGACAATTTCATATTTGAAAAAGTGATGTTTATTTATGTTTATTTTTTTTTGACCTCTTGGACTAAACCCAAAATGATAGTGACATAACACATACTTTCATTGGTTTTTTTCGTTCTTTGAAATTACCATTATTAACAATAATTGTTGTTGTAAATATTTGCACAGTTTCTTTTCAAAAATTATCTATTAACTAAAGAAAAATTTAAAAAAGTTGTTTGTTGAAAGTTTATGAGTATTATATGAAAGTTTGTTTTCATAATAGGGTCGTTGTCAAATTTTGGGAAATTCTCTTTCATACTGTTTGCAAAGTTTCAGTTTTTATAGTTTAAATATACTTTTACGTCAAAATTTTTTGATAAAAACTTTGCAAGAATTTAGTATTTTTTTTGTACATTAATTTTCAAATTTAAAACAATTAAAAAGAAAATTAATTTAAAAAGTTAGGAAGCAAAATTGTTTGTGAATTATAATTTCATTTATTATATTTTAGAAAAAATTATAACCAAAATCTGTAGAAATTTTTTTGACCATATAGTGTAAAGATTTCTGAATATAAATAAGAAAAGTTTGAAGATTTGTCGTTTGAATCATGTGACAGCACTAATTGGAATCAATATAACTTTTTTTATTAATATATCATATGACTATTAAATTAGGGTTGCCACCTCATCGCGGCTCTCGGACCGGAGAATTTTTCTTGACTATAAGGTGTAAATGCTCCCTAAAGCTTCTACCATACAATAAAGAATATGGAGAATAGTTACTAATTCAGTCATGATGTGTTATTGTTTCAATACTTAAAATTAAAAGTTTTTTTTTTAAATAACCGAAGACCGGAAGAATTTACTTGCGGCCCGGAGACCCGGAGATCTACTTCGCAGCCCGGAGTCTCCGGGCGAGGCCCGAAGAGGTGGCAACTCTAATTAAATATGTTATTGTAGTTTGCTTAAACCCTTCATTTACGAGTAAAAATAAAGTACCTAAATTTGGTACTTCGAACTCCTACGGGAACCTAAAAATTTTTTAAAGAAATATGTCAAAAATTGACCTATATATGACTTCCGCAAAAACCATTTTTTTCGTAATAAATTTTAGTCAAAATTCGGTATTTTTCAATTTTTCCACTACAACTTTTTAAGAATTGCAAATAATAAATTATCTTAAGAAAACACCTAACTTTAAACCAAAGAGTTTAATCGACATCTAATAGATGTCACTATTTGCTGATATAGTCGAAATCTTCTTTCATAATTATAATTCTTAATCAGCGAAAAATTCTAACATTAACAATAAAAATAAAAATATATTTTTTCTGTGTTTTAAGAGAAATAATTAAATTACCATTGTATAACCATTATCTACTGGCAGCTTTATAGTATAGGCAGGCCCCACTAAAGAAAGATTTTTCAAAAATTTTGCATTGCTAAGTTGCCAGGTTTTTCATCACGCAGTTTTATCTTTAATAATAAATTACACAGGCCTACAAAATTTAGAATTTTATCAGACCCAGAAACAGGATATGTCATTTCCGATGTAATTTGTCACCCTGAATCCAAAACTGACAGCGAAATTCCTCTATCACGTAAGGATTTTGAGATATTCTAATCTAAAAGAGTGGAAAAGGTCATTTTTGCAACATTCGACTCTTAATAAAATCCACAAAAATTTTTTTTAATCATTGGAACAAATTTTAAAAGAAAGTACTATTATTCACCTTTCAAAATATTCTACACCCGATCCCATCCGACTTTTTTTTACTAAGATACAACAATTTAAAGTTTAGGTTACACGACCTAAATACTGAAAAAAGGAAGAAAAGAATAATTGGAAAGTACTTTAACTTAAGCATCTGATTCTTAATATTTTGGGATCGTTGATTAGAAAACCGATGTCGGATTTTCGAAATTCAAAATGGCGGATCCAATATGGCGGCTGTCAAAATAAAAAATTGATCGGAATCGCTTGAAACTTTTTACTCGGGGGTTTTTGAGGTCGCTAATTACGAATCCGATGTCAGATTTTCGAAATTCAAAATGGCGGATGTAATATGGCGACATATTTTTAAAAAATTTAACGGATTCGCTTAAAACTCTTCACAAAGATGTATTTACAGGTCCAGATATAAGCAAAGGAGTGATTCTGTATTATATATTCTAAAAACGAAACCAACTATACGAAGATCCTTTGAAGAAAAATGTGTAAAGGTTTATAAAGAAAAATAAAACTTTTAATTTTCTTTACTAAAAGAGTGTATAAATGAGACGCATGCTTATTCCCGAAATCTTTTTTGACCAAATAGGTATTTGATATAAAACTACTTAACTTAAAATTCACATAATATGCACATTATTTGACATAAATTTCATTGTACACAAAAACCATTTAACATAAATATCATTTGTCATAGAATTCATTAAACAGAAATATTATGTTCCATATTTTATACTTTTATTTTAAAAATAATTTTGATTACGAAAATTTTAAATTATTCTAAAAATTCAAAAAATAATTATTCATTTAGCTTTTTAAACAAAGAATTCCGTATCTTTCGAAATTAACATACTGCAAAAAATTAAATTAATTTAAATATGATAAAGTTAAACAACTTTTAATTCTAATTTTTTTGGAAAACAAATTATCTGTCGTAAAAATACTAAGTATAATTTGCATTAATTATTTAATTACAAGATGTAATATAAATAATGAAGCATCACATTAAAGAAAAATATTCATAATTCATTTTAGAAACAAAGAACAAAATTTCAGGTAAATTTTAGGCGTATGATAGCCCCCAAATTTTAATTCTATACATTGATTGTTTAATTAAGTTTTTAACTTTATAATTATTTATTACTCGGCAGGTATGTGTCCATAATTTAATTTTAACATTATTTAAATATTGAGAATAGATATTTGATGTAAATATTTGGTAGGGGGACAGTTTTCCCAATCTGCATTTCCCAATAGTTATTTTTCCCAATGGGCGTTTTTCTCAATAATCGTTTTTCCCAATGGTCATATTTTCCAAAATTTTATTTTTTCCTAATGGACATTTTTCCCAAAATATTTTCTTCGTAGTAAATATATAAGATGTAATAAACTAACTTCATTGTTATGTAGTAACAAGGTTGCCACAAAATGATAAATATAAAATTCTAGGCTTTTTCCAGGATTTTCCTGTTAAATACTTATGAAATTCCAGTCAAAAATTAAAAAAATTTCTGGCCCAATAACACATCTTCAGCTCTAAAATTTTTTCAAAAATTCTAAATACCAAAAACCTAATAAGAATAAAAGACCAAAAATTTTTCTTCCTTAATTTTAAGTTAAAATATTCTTAAAAATCTTTAATAGGCAAAATTCCTGAAATTTTTTAAATTAAAAAAAATTATTTATTGTTCCTAAACTATGACAAGAACAATAATAATTAATATCTGGGTCATCGAAATGAATTTAATTCACAATTAATAAATGTAGCCACAGCCGATAAACAGCAGGAAATGAAAAATTATTTTTTAAGCGAACTTTATTTTCTGTTTACTAACAATTGTTAGTCAAAAAATTTTTTACTGTTCCTAAACAATGGCTAGAACAAAATTTTCTCAAAAATCTTTAAAAACAGGCAAAATTCCAAAAAAATTTTTAAATTCCATACTATTTATAATTTTTTTATTGTAATAATAATAAATCATTTATATGAACTACTTTTACCTGTATGATACTTTCTTTATCACCATATACTTTTTTTGGAATTATGTTCATTGGGAAAAACGTCCATTGGAAAAAAAACCTATTGGGAAAACTGTCTACCAACCCAATTATTTTTAACTGAAAAAATTGACAATATAGATTTTCATTGATTTGTTGAATTTTCTATGAATCACCTATTAATTAAAAACATAAAAAGTAAGACACGTTAAAAGTTTATAAAATAAACATATTAGACAATATTTTTATGTAATAAAAATTATAAGAAATAAAAATTGTATTAAATTACTATTTTGTAAAATATATTTTAATAATTTAAATTTATGTTGTAGTCTTTAATAATATAGTAATTATTTCAAATAATAATTAGGGTAAGTGCGGGTATAGTCGGACAGTACTAGTAGTCGGACACTTTCGTGTTTTTTGACAAATAAATAATAATGCATTGTGATAATTGCTTTAAAAAGTATACTAGACGAATGTGTGAAGTTTATATTTTATTAAAATAGTGTTATTTTCGAAAATAATTAAACAAGAAATATTTTATTTAATGCTTTAAAAATCATGGTGTCCGACTATAGATACAACCATTTTCGAGTAGCGCGATGAGTGGCACAAAGTTTTGTTGACAATTAATCATAAATATTAAAACTTATAGGGTTTAAATATTATATTAATAACTTCTAATATGCTTTAATTCGATTTTCCAGCAGATAGCAATTAAAAAATTATCTTTTTTACTTTATAAATTCAAAATATCTGACAGATGTCCGACTATAGAAACAAGGGGAGAAAGTGTCCGACTACTAAAGCATTCGTAATTTTTTATTAAAATGTTTATATTTTATTAAATACTCAACTATTTGTAACAAATTTATATGATTTTTAATCCTGAAGAACTCCTTTAATTAATAATGTGCTTATAAACACAGTAGATATTTGCTATTTCAAGAAAAAAAGCATAATTTAAGATTGTATCCTTAAGTGTCCGACTACTAGTGCATTTACCCTATATCTGTCAAAAATTATGAAAAATAAATAGGGTAAGTGCGGGTATAGTCGGACAGTACTAGTAGTCGGACACTTTCGTGTTTTTTGACAAATAAATAATAATGCATTGTGATAATTGCTTTAAAAAGTATACTAGACGAATGTGTGAAGTTTATATTTTATTAAAATAGTGTTATTTTCGAAAATAATTAAACAAGAAATATTTTATTTAATGCTTTAAAAATCATGGTGTCCGACTATAGATACAACCATTTTCGAGTAGCGCGATGAGTGGCACAAAGTTTTGTTGACAATTAATCATAAATATTAAAACTTATAGGGTTTAAATATTATATTAATAACTTCTAATATGCTTTAATTCGATTTTCCAGCAGATAGCAATTAAAAAATTATCTTTTTTACTTTATAAATTCAAAATATCTGACAGATGTCCGACTATAGAAACAAGGGGAGAAAGTGTCCGACTACTAAAGCATTCGTAATTTTTTATTAAAATGTTTATATTTTATTAAATACTCAACTATTTGTAACAAATTTATATGATTTTTAATCCTGAAGAACTCCTTTAATTAATAATGTGCTTATAAACACAGTAGATATTTGCTATTTCAAGAAAAAAAGCATAATTTAAGATTGTATCCTTAAGTGTCCGACTACTAGTGCATTTACCCTATTAGGTATATTTTTAACAATTACATTATTTAGAATTTTGCAAGTTAAAAAATTATTAAAAAGTTAAAAAACTAAATATTCTGTAATTAAGAAATTTAAAAAAATATAATTCAATTGAATGTAAATTATACCTATCAAATAATTTTTTTCAATAATATTGAAATAATGTTAACATTAAATTATAGAAAAGTATTTACCTTTAGAGCAAATGATGGTTGTAAAGTTAAAAATTGAATTAAACACAATAACAGTGCTGCTATAGATGATTAAAACGACAAATCTTCAAACTTTTCTTATTTACCTTCAGAAATCTTTAAATTAGTCAAAAAACTTTCTTCAGATTTTTTAAAAAATATAAAAAATGCCAATACTTAACCCACAAAATTTAATTTTCAAAACAAACAAATGAATGCAGATAATTTGCTAACGGAAAGGAAACTTACGATTATTATAATGTATATTATAATCACGCGTCCAATAATAAATTTAATTCACTTGACGGGTGTTTTGAAATCTACGAAATTCACCAAAAAAACTAAAATTCTTGAATTCTGTAAATTTTTTTTACCTTTTTTGGAAAAAAGTAGCATTTAGTAGCTTTTTGACAAAATAAGTAGCAAAAAGTAGGCTTGACCAAAAAAAGTGTCAAAAAAGTGGAAAAGTGTGTCACTTCGAAGCCTGCAAGTCTAAGTGACTGAAGAAATCTTTGAGACTTGGAGTGTTGAAGTACAAAATGATGTTCCTATTGCCCAATATCTAATTTGAAATAAAATATACATATTAACAGGCAATACTTTTACTGTTTACTTTTGCAGTACACTTTAAATATAAACCGAAGGAAGTTTCCCCGAATCAACTTTCCCGAAAAATTTGTTACCGAATGATATTATACCGAAAATATTTTTACCGAATGCTTTTTTAACGAAATAAATATTGTTACCGTAAACTGGGGCTATTAGAAACAAAACTCTTTTTTCGGTTGGAATTGATGCTATCGGCGCCGTGTATCAATAAATTGTGTTACTTGCTTTTGAAAAATTGTTGATGTTATGAGACAAAAACCAAATTCACAAACGGCGGGGCTATAAGGAACACAATTTTTTCTTCCTAATTGTTAAAGAGTGTTGTCAAAACGTAAGTTTCTCATAATTTCTTTTGTTTTTTATCACTTCATTTGGTTCTTAGTGTTTATAGATGGTTCTATATAATATTGCAAAAGAGTATTGGGACCGACAAGTCGCATAAAACGACCAGTGACTCCATCATCGACCTCAACTGATGATACCAGCAACCTTTAAAACACGCATTCGCTCTTTTAGATTGGTTTTTACATTTGTTTTAAATTGTGTTATTCGAAATTCGACCCCTCCCCCGGGGTTGTTAAGGGGGTTATAGGGGGTTAAGGAAGGGAAGAATTTGTTTTTGGTAGTCTTTTTTGGTTTTAGCGACCCAAAAAAGATAGGAATAGACACCCTACTCCATTTTTTTTTAAACTGAAATTCCAACCCCCGGGAGCAGGTGTAAGGGGGTGGTAGCGGGAAAATGGCCGATGAAAAAAATTTTTCATGGTCATATTCGGTTTAGCGACCCCAAAAACATGGGGATAGGGGGGTGTAACCTCTGGGTTTTGACTTTTTTATTTTTTTGTGTCCCTGTGTAATTAAGAATTATATGCACTGCAAAAATAGGTGTCTTTTTTGATATCTTAAAATAAGATGTAAGATGGAAAAATGGTATCTTACATCTTAAAATAAGATGTTTTCTAAAGCATCTTACTGATATTTAAGATGCTTTATACGTTTTAGCATAGTGATGAAGATATTTCTTCCATCTTAGAAACCCAGTAAAAAAAGAAGTATTGAGTGTTTGACAAGCGCGACTGAATTTACCATGTGAATAAATGAATTGGTAAGTTTAAATGGACGAAAAGAAATCTACTGTTACCGACAGAAAGTTCCTAGAGAATTGTTAAACAATGAAATTTCATTGTTTTGTTGAATTTACCACAATTCTCTAGGAACTTTCTGTCGGTAACAGTAGATTTCTTTCAGTCCATTTCGTCCATTTAAAATTACCACTTCATTTATTCACATGGTAAATTCAGTCGCGCTTATCAAACTTTGCTTTTACCAATTTTTAACAAATATTCACTGCTTCTTATCGAAATCGGCATTTTTACATTCCAGGACAATTGTGCTTTCAATTTATAATGTGTACTCTGGTCTTGTGATTTTAATTTTAATGCTAAAATAAGACCGTATTCGGCGGATGAAAAAAAGATTGAGTCAGACGTCCCAATACGGTTTTTACTTGAATCCGTATTGGCTCAGAGCTTCACTAAATTCCTAAACGCTCCACTCAATACTTCTTTTTTTACTGGGAAAGTAAGATACTTTTGTAAGTTCTTTAAAGTATCTTAAATTAAGATGTTTCTGTTGCAATAAGATGTTTAGCGATAAGTTACTTGAGAATCGTAAGATGCGCCATAAGTGTAAGTTACTAAAAACTAAGATACATATAGTGTGTTCCATAAGAGCCCATAGTTAACCTCAAAACTTTTTGCCCCAAAAATACCATAGAAAATGTGTACGAAGATACTTTTAACATCTTAAATTAAGATGTTTCAAGTAACTAAAAAGTGTCTACCAAAACATCTTAGAAATGACTACCAAAACATCTTAAATTAAGATACTTCTTTCTGCAGTGCGTTCATTTCTAAAAACATAACATAAATTTATAAATTCATAATTTCGGTAATTGGTACATTTAATTTTAATTACATTTAATAGAATTTTTTCGGGATTAATAGCATTCGGTTTAATGTCATTCGGTAAAATTACTATTTTAATTATTACTGTTTGTATGTATAAGTACTGTATGTTCCAGTAAAAAAAAGTAATTCAGAATAGAGAAAAAGTATTGGTGGAGACGTTCTGTGAATGCGTTTTCGCGACAAAACCGTATTGGTGGGTTACGGTGAATACATTTTGCTTACCGTGAATACATTTTTTTTAAACTTTCGATTTAAAGATTCCTACACGGAAAGAAATCTGCTAGTATTATACCATTGGGCGGCCAATAGACTTATTCTATCGGACCCCCACTACTACTTTTCAGGCGAGTAGATGCTATTAGTCCATCGCTGCATAGTATTATTCTACGCAGAGATGTACTAATTTCATCTACTCAGCCTGAAAAGTAGTGGTGTGGTCAGATGGCATAAGTCTATTGGCCGCCCAATGGTATAATACTAGCAGATTTCTTTCCGTGTAAGCAAAGTTGCGAATATTTATAAAGAGCGTAAGTGACCTGAAGTATATAAAAATGACGATTGCGAGAAGGAAATAAGAAATTTTGAGAAAAAACGAAAAATTAAATGTGACAAACCTACAACGTATGATGAAAAGGAACATTGACGATACCGACAGAATATAAATATTGATATATAAATATTGATACAGAAATATTGGATTTTCATGTTGAAAGAATCTGATAGGTATTCAATCAAAACTCATGGATAGAAAACTATAAGATATATCTAGGATCATAGGATTTGATAAAATTTGTATCCAAATCTTTGATAGAGAAATATAGTATTTTCATGTTGAAAGAATTTGATAGGTATTCAATCAAAACTCATGGATAGAAAATTATAAGACTTTTCGACTCATAGAATTTCATAGAATTTGTATCCAAACCTTTTAATAGAGAAATAATGGATTTTAGTATATTATTAACTTTGATAGATAATAATACATTAAAACTTATGATAGGAATGGATTTAATTTTCTACTTTGGATAGAAGTGGATTGGATTTTCAATATTTGATTAAATTGGATTCGAATTTCAAGGAGTGAAGGAAGAAAATTCTATCAAATCCTATCCATTTTAATAATTTTTTTAAACAGGGATCCACGGTAAGTACTTATACTACGAGAAAGAAGAGGGAAAATTCTTTTTTATGTTTAAAAATTTTCGTTAACTATGAAATTACAATTATTAAATAAAAATATTTTTTGTTTTAGTTATGGTTGCTACAACGCAAGAATTAAGAGCAAATAATGTGCCACAACAATTTCGTGATTATTGTGCTCATTTCTACATTGCGCTGGAAGCATGTCGTGCACGTAATATGCCATTTGTTCTAAGATGCAATCCAGAAAAAGATAAACTTCAACAATGCATAGTGGACGAGTAAGTCTTCATTAAATTTTATTGGTTTACAGGATGTTTCTCGTAAAAAAATTGTAACTTTAATTAGTATTTTGAAATTTCACTAATTTTTACATTGTTTTCATAATCATCGTAATAATCGGGCATTGACACGAAAAAGCGGACATTTTTGTCCGTGCGTCACGACATTAAAAATAGTATATCTTTGATACATTATGCTGTAAAATTGAAATTGAAAATTTTCTTATATTTCCTAATGTATCATAATTAAAAGAGAATTTACTTTAATAATAATTGGAAAAAAGATATAGTCTATTTAATCATAGTGACACACGGACGCTTTTTTCATGGAAGTGCCCAATCGTTAGTTTAGTATTTAATGAAATTAACAAATTTTGTCTTTTATGTGAAACTTATAATGACTTATTATTTTCCAAAGAGCAAAGAATTTATCGGGATCGTCGTCTTCTAATAAATCTAGCACCGTTTCAATATCTTCATTGTCAATCGAAATTGATCCTCTTTCGTCACAATCGTTTTCGCCTTCGTTATTTTGTATAGAATTTGCTTTTTCGGCTGAAGGACAATCGTACATTGTTTTTGAGCTAAACTCCTAATTTCTCCGTTAGTTGAAATTAGGTGCAACACACATTATTAAACTGAAAAATTAATCTATGGTTATCAATCAATCAAAATAAGGAATTTTTTTGTGAAAGAGAAAGCCAGCATTGATTAACATTGTTGTAATGTAAAAATATTACCTTACAATGTAGCCTCAAAAAGAGAATAGAATTTAACATTGCAGTGTTCAATTAGTTTCGATGTCTAGTTTTAACGATTTTCATCATACTGAATACTCGCTCTACAAAAGCATTGCTTAAGAGAAGAGAGAATAGTCAGAGAACACAAGAAGAAATTTCTTTAAATGACTGCTCTCCTGTTCTATTTTTTAAATTAAAACAAGCATCCCAAAACTAAACAACGTCAACAAAGTCAATCGACTCATCTAATGGACAAATATCTTTAAAGCTTAAGGCTTCTAAAGAATTCCATTCAGATTCCCAATGATCCACATCGTCTGCATAACCCAAGACCAATACCGCCTTGGAAGAATTAATCGCAAGTTATCTACAACCCCTCCCAATGAAAAACTTTTCCAAGTCTACGATAAATAATAAAAATAAATAGGGACTCAACGCATCACCCTGTAGACCTTCTTGAGGAACTCTAACAAACTCCGTAGTACCATTCATAGTCTAAATACAAGTGACAGCAACCGAATAAAAACTTTTTAAGACATTAATTATAGTTTATTTACTCTCCCTACAATAGGTAGGGTTCGAGACTCCCAAGTACATACATAACAATCTTAACCTATATTTACAAAAATCCTTACAACTAAACATTCTCTTCATACAACTTAACCTAAAAACGCAACTCTCTCCTCGCTCTCTACCTTACGCTCTTAACCTATCGCCAGTGCCGGGCTTCCGTTTCCAGTTCCTTCTATGCCCATGCTGGCTTCAACCCAATTCGCCCACCCTTTTTCCAAAAACCTGCTTTCTCACCTCCCTTACACGCTCCAGTCATCCACTTTTATCCATCCATCCATCCAAGCAAAATCTTCTCACCTCATTCTCAGCCTATACCTGTCTATCACACTTTACACACTTCCATCACTCCACCCATATCCTCCCCCACAACATACTTTACCCCATCCACCCAAATACAATCCTTACCCATTCTTACCTGTTTTCCTTTCACTCTCTCCGTCCACGCTCTTTCTCTCAATAGCCATAGCATTCTTCTCTCTCTCCAACATCTATCCTCATCTATTCTTATTACACTTCCTTTCAGTCGTCCTTTCACCCTCATTACATCCATTTTCTCTTCCTCACTACCCAACTCCACCAACCATAACTTTGGAACCCCATATTCACCCCTTCCTAACGCTTGTACCATTTTCACTGTGACATTAACCCCCACCCACGCCAACACTTTTTCCACTGCTCTTTTACCCTCCAACACACCTACATTCATACCTCTGATCACTACATTCTTTTTCCTTTTTTCATTTTCTACTACATCCACTCGTCTTGCCAAATCTCCCATTTTCCACTTTAACCTCTCATATTCACTTCCCTCAACTTTCTCAGTCCCCTCATTCACTTCCTTTATAATTTTTTCTAATCCATTCATTCTTCTCCAAATGCTTTCCTTATCCTTTTTCCACTTACTATCCCATTCATTCCACATTTCCTGCAATTTCTCCAACCTCTCTTCAATTTCCATTATCTCTTTGTCCCTTGATTCCCCATCCTCACATATATCCATCAAATTTTCCTTCACTCTCTTAGCTCCTTCATCCATCGCGTCCTTCATCATCCATACTAATTCTAACAAATCCATGCAATCCTCACACGTCATCTTTTTTCCATTCTTTCCTATTCCCCTTTCAAATACCCGCGCCTTTTTCTCATTCTCGCTAACACTACTTGAGTCAAACTCAGCCATTCCAGAAATCTACCTTATCACTCAAATGCTCAAAATTTTTCCACTGTCTCTCTCTCCTCTCTCTCACTTCAAGCAACCTAACCTCACAAAACACACTTCTCTTTTTTACCTTTTTTATCACTCACACATTCACTACTCTATACCAACATACCTTTCCTTTACACTACCGCAAATTACACTACACACTCAGCACTCTACACTACCCACCCTTTTTTAAAACCTTTATATTTCTCAAAAAAAACTCTTAACTCTTTCCAAACGCGAGTACACCGAAACGGTACCGGAAACGGAAGCCTTTAAGACATTAATGATTTTTGATCTAAGCCCAAGACCATGCAATTTCTCCCAAAACAGTCGATAGTTAAACAGAAAAGCTTGAAGTCGACGAATGTAGCAAACACCACAGCTGCCGGATTCCTTAAATGAATTTGAATAACTGCCTGTAGTGTAAAGAGATTATCAAGACAGCTCCTTTTTATCCTAAACTCGGACTGAAATTCGTAGATCAAACAAATTTTTATCAGCCCAATCCTTCAAACGATTTCATTCCGAGGGCTAAAATATCTCGTAATTTTCAAAACAATTTCGCTTTCAAAGGGTGACGGAATTAGGTCTTTCGCTTTGTTTATTTTTTTGATTGCATATGCTGACCTTGACAATTTTCTGTTTGGTCTGTAAGATCCAAATTTTAAATTAGTACTTATTTCAAATCTGATATCTTCATTCCAAAATCGATTAATAAATTTTTCTTTAAAATGACCAAAGTGATCATCTTCATCTTTAACTAAATTCCACCACTCTTTAGCAATTCCATCTAAACATGCTTGAATTACATATTTAATTTCCGAATTTAAAATGTCATTCAATCTTATGTAATCTTGCAATTCTCTCAAAAATACCATCGGACGTTCTTGATTACTTTCGGAATACTTTGGCAATGGATACTCTCTAATCCACAAATTTTTAGTTGTAACGTCACTAGTTTTTAGTCTATTTATTCTTTGTTAAAATAAATTTTGAGTTTTTTAAATTTCTTTAATTTTAGTTTCGTTATTCATTACTGCCATAGCATTCTCTTCCGTAGTCAAATGTACTGTACTTAATTTCCTATCCATTTCACATATTTTTCCCGTAACCTCATTTAATGGTTCCTCAATATTTAATTTTAAATCTTCATATTGCCTTTTATTTATTTCAATACTCGTATCAATTTGTTTTTACAGTTTACTTTCTAATTGTTCAATTTCTCTTTCATTTTTTTCTATATTTTGTCTGATTTTAGCTCTATCTGTAGTGCATTTGGCAAAATTTTCTTTTTGTCTAGACGCGATTTTACCTAAACCTCTTATTATTTTTTTTACTTCCATTCCCAACTCACGCATGAATTCATGAAATCTTGTTGTGTTTTACTCATTATTTCTCTTTCTTCTTCTTATAAAACCCGAATTTTTTTTCTTTGATCTTTTTTCTCTATTTTTATTATCTCCCTCTGAATTAGATTTCGATGTTTCCTGTGTGTTTGATTCATTTTATTTATCTTTATCCATTTTTTTAATTTTATTTGTTTATGTCAAAAGTGTAAATTTTTTAATTTTTGTTTTTTTTTTATTTTATTTAAAAACTTATTTTCAATTTGATTTTCTTAATCGCGAATGTCCAAAATGTTTTAAAGAATGACAAGAAATACAATATCTTAATTATGAATTGTAACATATTTAAAAGAAGACTTTTTTAGAATATATGTATTTACTGAATGTAGGGCCAGGCTAACTGATTTATTTAAATTTTAGTTGGGTTATGCGAATGAAGGAATATGAAAGAGAGCGCCGACTTTTAGAGAGGAAGAAGAGACGATCAAATAGTACACAGGAAGCTGAAGCTGCTTAAAGTTACTCCTTTGTAGATACTTACTATGATTGTTATTCGCAACTTAGAAATTGTAAGAATACCTTATGTTTATTGTAAATAAATTATAAATAAATTATTGTTGCTCAAGAATTATTTATAAATTATGATTCGTTGTAAGTTCAGGCCTTTAAAAGTAAAGAAGTAACTGGTGATGGAGAAAAATTTCGTAGCTGGTAAAGTGGAAAATTACATTTATTTTAAACATATCGTCTACCATATTGAATCCGCCATTTTGAATATTCAAAAACCGCTACTTGGTATTTAAATAAAATTCCTTTTTACCTAAATTTTAAAGTTACATAATACTGTAGTAACAATTTATAAAATAGAAATAATTTCAAAATTTCTATATTTTTAACATTTTTGAAAGTACTGCACAGTCTTATGTTCTGGTAAATATTTTTTAGGGAAGTAAACTTATAATTATAACAAAACATCTTTATTGTGGACTTAAAAGACACCCATATCAAAGTTATAAGTACAAACAAGTTGTTCATTTCATGACCATTTAGCTTCCTCAATATATAAAAATTGCGGTTTTGCAAACTTTTGAAAAACTATGTACAAAAGGGTTCGTCCAGAAGATTTGTTAAAAATAAAATTATATGGGTCAGACCATTATATTTTGAATAAAGTCGTTGCGGCCTAATTTTTTAAAAAATTGATACTTTTAGAAATGAATCTGTATGATCTCTGAAGAACGAAATGAAAAGAATTATATTAAAATATTTATTACTTTTCTTAAAATATGAGTGTAAAGTGGAGAAGGTGCGGAAAAATGGCACTTTTTTAGCAATTAGAAAATATTTAAAAAAGTATTGAAAAATTCTTAAAAGTGCAAAAAGATTTATTGATTGCATGTTTAAAATTAGTTGATTAATTATTCTTTAATAAAAAAACTAGTAAAAATGTAAAAATAATAGATAAAATATGTTTTAAAGTCGATCCGCCAAATAACCTAATTTTGACGTTTTTATCAATTAATTACGAGAAGGTGGAACTATTGAATTAAATAAAAACTCACCGAATATAGAGTATTTTTCGTGAACTTTCAGGATTTCTTATCACTTTTTTAATTTTTCCATAAATATACAAGAAATATAGAGTTGAAAGTACGCGATTTTTGAAATGTTGCGTACTTTTACAACTTAATAACTCCGTTAAAGAAAAATAAAAAAATTTGGCACTTTCACAACTTCTAAATCACAACAAAATCTATAAACTCAATAACTTTCTTTTGGTCCAGGGACTAATTTAAAAAACATAAAGGTTTAAAAATTGCACACTTTTTCAGGTTAAAACTATTTATTTTCTTAAAATTGAAGTTGGCTTTTAATTTAAACACTATGATCGGAACGTGATTTACAATTAAAAGCCAACTTCAATTTTAAGAAAATAAATAGTTTTAACCTGAAAAAGTGTGCAATTTTTAAACCTTTATATTTTTTAAATTAGTCCCGGGACCAAAACGAAAATTTTTGAGTGTATAGATTTTGTTGTGATTTAAAAGTTGTGAAAGTGCCAAATTTTTTTATTTTTCTTTAACAGAGTTATTAAGTTGTAAAGTACGCAACAATTCAGAAATAGCGTACTTTCAACTCTATATTTCTTGTATATTTAAAGGAAAAATTAAAAAATTGATAAGAAATCCTGAAAGTTTATCAAAAATACTCTATATTCGGTGAGTTTTTATTTAATTCAATAGTTCCACCTTCGAAAATTCTTTAACCCTTGCTGGTTCTCTCAATTCTTAATCTAGTGAACTGGCGTTATACATTTTTATTTAGTTTTTCGTGTGGATTTCAACAAACATTCAAAAAAAATTATTGGAATTCATCTTCATATTTTTTTTTGCGAAAAACTAAAAATTTTTTTCGTTTTAGAAAAAAAGTGTGTACCCCCCCCCCCCTTGGTTTTCACAATTCTTGGCCTATTGGACTATAGTTTTGCTTATTTTATGAATTTTCATGTGTAGATTTCAGGAAAAATAGACCGAACATGATTGGATTTTATCTTCATATTTTTTTTAGCGAAAAACTCAAAGTTTTTAAAAATTTCGTCAGAAATGCGTGTTTTTTACCCTAGCGCCCACAGTTTTTTATCTGAAGAGATGAAAATTGGTTATTTATTTATTTTCACCTGTAGATTACAGAAAAAATACAGCGAAAAATATTGGAGTTGATCTTTATATTTTTTCATCAAAAAAGTAAAAGTTTTAAACGTGGGTACGGAACCCTCGGTTTTAGTACGAGTTCTACTCGCACTTGTCCGGTTTTTTTTAAATATTTTCTAATTGCTAAAAAAGTGCCATTTTTCCGCACCTTCTCCACTTTACACTCATATTTTAAGAAAAGTAATAAAAATTTTAATATAATTCTTTTCATTTCGTTCTTCAGAGATCATACAGATTCATTTCTAAAAGTATCAATTTTTTTAAAAATTAGGCCGCAACGACTTTATTCAAAATATAATGGTCTGACCCATATAAATCATTTATAAGTTGTTATATAAATATTTGGTGAAATTTACTCTTTCATTTGCCAATTGCTTCTTTTTTATGATAGAATAATAATTTCAAAATATGAATATTAAATAATTTATGAAAAAAATACAAAATTTGAATTTTTTGTGAAAAAGAAAAATATTTATTAATTTTATAAATCTTGATAAAATATATACTTTGTATACATCAATCGATTCGTTTTCTTGTCAGGAATGTAATTTTGAGAATAATTAATGAAAATATTAACAAATAAAAAAATTATTTCAAAAAATACAAAAAAAAATTTTTTCTGAATTTTAAAAAAATGGTATAAAAAAAAATTTTGTAGATATTTTCGAAAATCCTTGTGTCAGATTTTAGGTATTAATGACTGCAATAAACCTGCAAAATTTCAGGACAATCCATCAAAATTTGTCTGAGATAATTTGTACACAATTTTTGTGACATACACATACACATACACACATGCATCTGGACATTTGCTCATAATTGAATTTACATATGTTCTAGATAATGAGTCCATATAACCTTCTTTTGAAAAATTGAAAATCGTCACCAATGCAAAGCTTCCTCATGAGGAAGCAAAAGTATTCAATTATTGAGTTTTTGAACTTTAAATATTTAAATCACTCATAGCTATAGTAATTTAACAAAAATTTCTTTATAGATAATTTTCGAGTCTTGAATCTTGTCTTGGTCTTAACAGTTACTGTCTCGTCTCGTCTTGAATAGACATGAAGAAAAAAACTTTCATCTTGGTCTTGACGATGATTGTCTTGTCTTGTCTTGAAAGTCTTGCGTTATACTTTTCACACTAATAACACAAAAACTGAGGACAAATAAAAGTGAACGAAAATTAGTAATTAAGTAGACGGTAATTGAGACATCCACTGTAAGTATACTTTATGTTTATTTATTTATTTATACAGTTTATTCAACTTTGTTTACAGGTATCACAATGGTTTTTTTCATGTAATATTAGGTAAAAAAAAAGATCTTTTCAACTAACAACAAGATAAATATATTATAATATATATATACAGTTTGTTTTAAAGAACTTTTACTCTTTTTCATAATTATAGCTCTTTGAAATAAATTAGACATTTTATTTAATTTCCTGTCAGCTAATAATAGTGTTTCTCTATCATTTCTTTTATTCAGCAATTGATGAATTTCTATCTCAAAAATTTTGTCAGAAAGCAGTTTTTGATTAATAATTTAAAGATTAATAAAAGCTGTCAAAATAAAATATGACTTGAAAAATTGAAACAATGTTTGCTTAAAATATTACAAAAATGACACAGGTTTTTATAAGTTCGAAAAAATTAATAAAAAGATTAATTAGATGGATGTTTTTTGTGGTTTTTTAATATAATAATTTAATTGGCCTAAAAATATCTTTAAATTAATAATAATATTAAGTTTACAATGGTTAGTGAAAAGAATGTAATCAACATTTTTTGTTAAATTAATGAAAGTAACACTATACATAGAGCATACTATTTAAATTCTGCAAAATTCTAATATTTGTAGTCTTTCTATATTGAAGCAATTTTAATGTGTTTCTTAATATTATCAATGACATCTCTACTTGTAGCAGATCCGCCAAGATCTGCTGTGTGAACACCTTCATTAACTGTTTTGTTGATCGCATTCTGAATTAAAATTGCGTGTTCTTTATGTCCTAGATGACGTAACATATCAACAGCCGCATTTAACATAGCAATTGGATTCGCGACATTTTTGCCCGCAATTTTTTTACCCGTATTACGAGTACCTGGTTCGAATATTGTATAATGATTTCCATAATTCTTTCCCGCTAGAAGCCCTGCTCCACCCAACAAACCGCAAACTACATTTGAGACTATAGCTCCATATAAATTTGTTGTCAAGACAACGTCAAACTGATGAGGATTAGACACAAGTTGCATGCACGTATTATCAATAATCATATCATTAAACTGAATGTCTGGATAGTCCTTGGCTACTCTACGAGAAGTTTCTAAAAATAAACCATCTGAAAGTTTCATTATATTAGCTTTATGAACGGAGGTGATTTTTTTCCTATTATTACGTTTAGCATATTCAAAAGCGTAACGAGCGACTCTCTCTGAATTTGATTTAGTAATAACTTTCATGCTTTCCACCACGCCATCAGCACTTTCATGCTCCAACATGGCGTATTCTCCTTCTGTATTTTGTCTAATTATTACAATATCTATATTTTGTTGTCGTGATCGAACACCTTTGTATGATACACAATGCAGTACGTTAACATACAAATCTAATTCATTACGTAATGCAACATTTCGAGAAAGAACACTCGCTTCTTTACTTCTCGTTTCTATATTTCCTTTGAGAGCCACTCCATTTCTACGAATAGACGTTATGGCATAATACAAATCATCATTATTGTCAGCATTTGGATCGATGTCGATGTCTTCAAAGTCTACTGGAACTCCGGCAAAAGTAAACACCTAAATGAAAATAGAAATAAAATTCAGTTTCAATTTAAACATAAATTTCTTCAAATTCTAATAAAATTAAACGTTAGCCTTTTAATATCTCAGAACAAAAATAAACTATAACTTGACTTTTATTGAAACTCTAGTCGCACTGTAGGGAGTTTTGGTTAAAAAAAAAGCCAAATTGTTGTTCTAACCCTTCCGATTATGGGAAAAATAATAGAAAATCAATAACTTCTTCTTTAAATAAATATTTAATCATTATTATTTTTCCATTGGAATTAAGATGTTCAAAAATTTTTAATTTAAACTTTTTTTGATATTCAACAACTGTGGGAATTATTATAAAACATGAAGAAATCAATCAAACTTTAACTTCGTCAAAATTATTTTCATCATTTCAATTCAATAAACATTTTTTAGAATTTTTAACTACAATTTATTAACTATAATAATTTGTGATTAAGAAATAGAAAATTTATTTATTTTGCATTATTTTTGTCTATGAATCACAATTTTTTTTTAACAAAATTATTATTTTGTTTTAGAAAAAGAAGAAAAATATTTGCACAATTTCTATTTTTAATCTTATTTTTGGAATAGGATTTTCCACAGAAATTAAGACATACAAAAATTTCAAATTCAAACCTTTTTTAAATTAAACAACTTATAAAAGTTTGTTATAAAACAGGAAGATATCGATTGCTCCGAGTCGAAGACTCGGACTAAAATTTTTTAAATAATTGAATTCTGTTTAGAAATTTTATAAAAATGGTGATATTAAAAATAATTAAATTGCGAAAAGTTTTTTAAAATAATTATAAATTTCCAAAAAAATGTATTACTTTTAAAAATAATTAAATTCTTGTGATGAATATTATTTCTGAAAATAATTGAATTTTGCACAGAATTTTATTAAAATCTAAAAGAATAAATGAATTATTTCAAAAAAATTTAATTTTAAATTGTTTTTAAAATAGTTGAATTCTTTCGAACAATTTCATTAAAATATTTGAAAATAATTGAATTCTTGTGAAAAATTCTAATATTTTTGTAAATAATTAAATTCTTTCAAAGAATTTAAAAAAAACATTTTTTTTAGTAATTGACTTTTTCGAGGAATTGAAATTAAATTTCTAAGAATTTTTTTGAACATTTTTTTATCAATTCCTGTAAAATTGTATTTAAAATAATTGAAATCTTGCGGTGAATTTTATTATTTATGAAAATAATTAAATAGTTGCAAAGAATTTTATTAAAATTTTCAAAAAATAATTGAATTGCTGAGAAGAATAATTTTATTATTTATGAAAATATTTGAATTATTTTGAAAAAATTTATTAAAATGTGTCAAAAAAATTGAGTTTCTGTGAAAAGTTTTGTTATTTTTGAAAATAAATTAATTCTTCATAAGAATTTTATAAACATTGTTTTAAATAATTTATTTTTTCGAAAGATAATAAATATTATGAAAATTATATATTAAATAATTGAATTCTTGTGGAAAATTTTATTTGTGAAAATAATTGAATTTTTCTATGAATTAATAATTTAAAATAGTTATAAAAATCATTGAAATTCTTCGATATTTTTTTATAAAATTCTAAGCAAGAATTCAATTATTTTCATAAAAAATTGAATTCTTGAGAACGATTTTATTAGAATTTTTTTTAAATAATTGAATTCCCAAGAAGAAATTTATTATTTTTAAAAATAATTGAATTCTTGTGATGAATATTGTTATTTATGAAAATAATTGAATTTTTCAAAGAATTTTATTAAAATCTAAAAGAATGATTGAATTATTTTAAAAATTCAATAAAACTCAGGAGTTTTATTATTTACGAAAATAATTAAATTCTTGCTTCAAATTTTATCAAAAAAATTTTAAAACAATTGAATTTTCATGAAAAATGTTTTTATTAGTGAAAGTAATTGAATTATTGTGAAGAATTGTATGAAAAATTTGTTAAATAATTGATTTTTTCGAAATTTTTGTGAAAATGCAATTCTAAATTAATTGAATTTCTGTGGAAATTTTATTATTTTTGAAAATTGAATTGTTTTGCGAAATTTCATTAAAATACTAGATATTGAAAATAATTGAATTTCGAATATTTTTTTAAAAGTAATTGAATTGTTTTAAAGAATTCGATTATAATTTTTGAGAATAGTTTTTTAATTTCTGGTAGGTAGCAAATTTAAAGTGATGGAAATTTTCAAAAAAAAAAAAAAACAGAAATAGATTTTAGTCCCTTGAGTCGAAACCGTAAAACAGAAACTTAAAAATGTAAGAAGGATAGAATAATATAATTTTATAATATAAATTTGATGCTTTTGATCTTGTTTTTAGCTGACATAGTATTGAACAATAAATGATAAAAAAAATTTGAGACATACCTCTTTTACATAACCCATTAATTCTGGACCGATTCCAGCTCCAGGTAAAATAGTTACAGTGTGCCGCCCACCATAGTGAGCTTTTGGAATTGGCATAACTTTTTTAATTGTTGGTGTTTTATGTTGAATTTCGAAAGCAGACATAGACGTTGCCCCTCGATGAAGTTGAGGAATTATTGTTTTCGACTTTAACATATAGTTTACAAGCGAACGAGAAGCCATTTTAATAGATTATTTGATATTTAGATACTGTGAAATAACAATTAATTGTTGTTATATAAAAATATCAAATAGTAGTGCTTCTGCTTCACAGACACTTTAAATATGTAAGGTCAAAAACATTCCCCAATCAAATATCATGAAACCAGCAGACGACACTATCGAATCAAGTAGGTCTGTCTGTTCCGTCTGTTCCCCAAAATGAAAATAGCAGAACAACTATTAAGTCGAATTCACAATTGACGATTTGCAACTTAAGGCCAACGCAGAATAGATCTGTAACCGGAACCGCAATCGTAAGCGTAACCGTAAGAATGAGTTAGAGAAGGATAGGTATATTGTTTATCCTTCTCTAACTCATTCTTACGCTTACAGTTACGATTGCGGTTCCGGTTACAGATCTATTCTGCGTTGGCCTATACACTAATATTTATTTTTAAATGAATTGTAAATTGACCGATGATATATTTATGTCCTTTTCTATTTCATGCTTTGCGTTCGCGAAACTATTGTGCGTTGAACTTTACATTTACGTTCTGTTGTTCTCGAGTGCTATTGTGGACTCAACCTAAGGTTGGTTCCAGAATGGACTGGACGCAATCGCGTTCCCATTTGATTAGCATTAAGGCCTTTCTCCAATAGGTTTTAAAAAGTGTGCGAATGACTGCGTCTGCGTTGATTTTAGCACTTTTTAAAACCTATTGGAGAAAGGCCTTTAAGGCCTTTCTCCAATAGGATCCAAAAACTCTGCGTTTGTCTGCGAATGGCTGCGTTGCGTTGATTTTAGCATGTGTTGCTATAGCAACCGACGCAGACACAGAGTTTTGGGAACCTATTGGAGAAAGGCCTTTAGGTATGTTTTCGTTGCCTGCACTTCTTAAGGCCAACGCAGAATAGATCTGTAACCAGAACCGCAATCGTAACCGTAAGCGTAAGAATGAGTTAGAGAAGGATAAACAATATACCTATCCTTCTTTAACTCATTCTTACGGTTACGCTTACGATTGCGGTTCCGGTTACAGATCTATTCTGCGTTGGCCTATAGCGTTTTGCGTTGCGTTTTGTAACTAGGCCATGAGTGAAAGAGAGATAGAGATATATGTTTGCTCTATTTGCACTCATGGCCTAGTTACAAAACGCAACGCAAAACGCTACCATGGGACTCCAGCCTGACCCTGAGGGTGGAGTCCCATGACAGCGTTTTGCGTTGCGTCGTAATGGGAGAGAAAAAGACGCAAATATACGTTTGCTGCATTCTCTCTCATTACAACGCAACGCAAAACGCTGCCATGGGACTGCGGCCTGAAGTCCCATGGCAGCGTTTTGCGTTGCGTTTTGTAACTAGGCTATGAGTGCAAATATAGCAAACATATATCTCCATCTCTCTCACACTCATTGCCTAGTTACAAAACTACGTTCCGTTCAAGCTACTATTGTGGACACAACTTTAAGGGTGCGATCCCATGTATGCAGAATACGTCGACCGAAAGCAGAAAATCATGAGGCCAATAGGAACTTCCGATTCAATAGAAATTATTCTAATAAGGAATTCTTATTGGCTAAAGTTTACCCGTTTCACGCTACTGTTGAACTGCACTCAGATTTCAGAATGGTTAAAGTTGTGGCTATTTAAATTATTACTTTTTACAATTAGGAATTAGGATAGCAAATTTGTAATTGAAATAATTGGAATTTTTTAGTAATTAAGTTTTTTTGTTTTAACTTATCTTTTTGAAATTAAAATGGTAAAGTTATCGCCAGATTTAATTCAGCAGTCAATGCAGTACATAAATCCTGTCAGAGATCGTGAACTTGATCTTAGAGGTTAGTAACGTAATGAAAACGTTTTTATCTTTCTAAATAAAAATATGCATGTTTAAAAAGTGTCAATAGAGAAATATAATTTTATTATTAATTGTTTATTTTAGGTTACAAAATACCAACTATAGAAAATTTGGGGGCCACATTGGTAAGTAAAAAGTTATTTTCCTAAAGTTTTAATGATTGTAAATTCCAACGAAAATTATATCTTTATTATCTTCAATTTAAATGTTATTTTAACATTGCAATAATATTAAGTAATGTTAAAGAAAAGGAGGGATTCTATTATTTAATATTGCTTAAAAATTGAAATTAAATATAAAATACTGATTTTTTTTAGAAAGCCGGTTGAAAATATTTCGACTGAATTTCATAAAAAATTTTATACGAAATCGTATTAAATTTCGTTATAATTACGTATGTCCCTTTGGAATCTTTTTTATGAGTCAATTGAATAAACATCTCGACAATAAAATTAAATAAATATAACACTCAAAATTATGAAATATTAAAATTTACAAATCACAAACAGTCAGCTTGACTAATCACTTTTATTGAACATGTTTGTGATTTGGAAATTTTAATATTTTATATTCTTTGTGTGTTTTGTTTATTTTATTTTATTGACGAGATGTTTATTTAATTAATTTTAACTAGGTAAATATTGTTTTTAATTTTTGCTTCAAGTCCGTAAAAGTCTGCTTTTTTTAAAAAAGGTCCGTAAAGTCCGTAATTTGATGGAAAAAGGACGAAAAGTTCGTAAATTGTACAATATAATTTGGAGAATTTTAGAAAAATTACAAATAATTGCAAAAATTCAGTTATTTTCAAAAGTAATAAAATTCTTCGCGGAAATTCAATTATGTTCAAAAATTTTAATAAAATTCTTGGCAAAATTCCAAATATTTTCAAAAATTTTAATAAAATTCTTGGCTAAATTTCAATTATTGTCAAAAATTTTCCTCAATTCAATGATTTTTAATATCTACTATTTTAACAAAATTTTCCAAAAAAATTTAATAAAATTCTACGCAAACCTTTAATATTTTCATGAAATAATAAAAATTTTACAGGAATTTCATTATTTACAAATTTTTTTTATAAATTTTTTCGCAATCATTCAATGATTTTCATAAATAATAAAATTTTTACAGGGATTCAATTATTTTCATAAATTAATAAAATTCTTTTTAGGAATTCAATTTTTTTTGGGTATCCTTTTTTCATAAATAATAAAACTCATCGCAGAATTTCAATTATTTAAATACAATTTTAATCGAATTTTTCGAAAAATGTAATTATTCTTAAAAGTGTTATTAAAAATCGTCGAAAGAATTCAATTATTTAAAAATTTGTTGATAAAATTCTTTATGGGAGTTGAATTTTAAGAAACATTCAATTATTGAATAAATTATTTATTTTTGTATTTAAATATGTAATTATGAATTCTAGTAGAATTATCTAATAAAAATTTATTAAAAAATGAAGAATATCAGTTTAAATTTTAGATAATATTTGAATATTAAAATGAATATAGCATGAATTTTTAGAAATAATTGAATTTTGAAATTAACTTTTTTAAAAAAGATAATTTTATATTTTTTTATATTATTTGAAGTTTTTGCTTTCTAATATTTATTTAATTAAAGAATTTACGAATAATTAAAATTTGTAAAATTGAATATTGTAAACAAATGAATTAGAAAATTGTCAAAGAACTTTTTCGAAAATTAATTGATTTAAAGAAGAATTTTAGTTTTTTTTAGTTTAGTTAACTTTGAAAATTCTGATATTAAAAGTATTGATTTTACATGTCTGACACTTTATTTATTTATACTCATTGCTAAGGTACAACAAAAATTTATTGTCAAAAAAAGAATTTCAAAAAATTACAAAAAACTTTTTTCGGAACAATTTATATAGAGACATGGATAAAAAGATTTTTTTCGAGGAAATGGATTCAGGAGAAGTGCATTCGGTAAAACAGTATTCGGAAAAGTAATTTTTGGTAATTTTGACATGAGAGATTAAAATATTTGGATTGGCTGTGAAAGTAATTAAAAAAAAGATTTTAAACGAAAATTCAAGGTTGAAAGTCAGTTATAGAATCGAAGAAATCAGAAGAAATAAATAAAATGTTCCTTTTGTTTTTAATTAAAATGTTTTTAATGTAGAAGACAAGTATCGCACAATTTAGGATTGATATAATGAGATAAAACTTTTAAATTAATGTTTAATAAATGCTCTAAACTAAAAAAATCTTTAAATTACGTATAGTAATTTGTAAAGCAGTTTTATAAAATAATAATCCCAATTTAACTAAAGAAATATGTTTAGATTTTCCCCTTTTTCTCCCCTATTTTGAATAAAAATTTACCCTTATTCTCCTTTTATTTCTTAGCCCATTTGACTTTCAATGTATCATTATGCTAAAACTTTTGCGATCCGAGTGTATAATAACGTAAATTTTTTTATAAATATTAAGGTGGTTCATCCAACAAAATGCAGACCTCAAGAAAAATAATTAATTAACATTTAAATAATTAAAATATTGTTATTAATAATATTTTCTAGAAAAAAATATGAATTTTCGAGAAAAAAATTCTTTGCTACAACGTTACAGCTCATATTTTTAAACAAGCACACCGTTTGGAAAATATGCTTATTTGTTTAAAAGAAAATTTTGACTTTTTCTTAAAATAAATATTAATACATAGTTAATGAAAATAAAATTTGTACCATAATATTATGATTGATGAACTCAGCAAATGATCGAGAATCACATATATTAAAAATAGATTTTTTTAAAATATGGTCGCAACGGCTTTCAGACGAAAGTCAATGGACTCACCCATACACATTTTACTTTGATTATCTGCATTAATAATTTTAATTTTCAATTTTTTTTTATAGGATCAGTTTGATACAATCGACTTCTCCGACAATGACATCCGTAAATTTGATGGTTTTCCTCTCTTAAAACGGTTAAAAACACTGTTCTTTAATAACAATAGAATTGTTAGAATCGCAGAGGGTTTAGAAAATTGCATACCACATTTAGAAACTCTTATGTTAACTGGTAATATGATTCAGGAGTTAAGTGATTTGGAACCACTTGTTCCATTAAAACATCTTCAATGCCTCTGTCTTTTACAAAATCCAGTATCAGCCAAGCCACATTATCGACAATATATAGTCTTCAAATTTTCATCATTGAGGTTATTGGATTTTAGAAAAATCAAGAAACAAGAACGTGAAGAAGCAACAGCTTTCTTCAAAAGCAGAAAGGGCAAAGAAATGGCAAGAGAAATTACCAAAAAGGCTAAAGCACAATCTCAAAATATTAATGGTTTGGATAAACCTATGATGACTTCAGACGAGCGTAATAAAATCAGAGAAGCGATCACGAATGCCACATCCTTAGAGGAAGTTCAGCGGCTTAGTAAAATTCTACAAGCTGGACAAATTCCAGGAGAAAAACAGAAAAACGGTATGTAGAAATTCTTTGATCACTAATGTTTTATTATCTTCTTTAATTTAACAAAAATAATTTTTCTTATTTAAAAAATGAAAAAAGATAGTTGTACTTTAATGGATAGAATTGCAATGTTATAGGTGATCCAGACGGTGAAGCAATGGAAGAAGAAGATGAGGATTAAATTAAAATATTTGTGGAATTAATTCTAATATCATTTCTGTCATTAAGTTAAGAAAGTTTTCCAGTTTAAAGGGAGTTTCAAAATTATAAGTTTCATTTACATTCTGATTATCAACATTTAATAGATTTAAAAGTTACATAGGTCAACTAAACTGTAAGTATTAAATACGTTAATTTTTTAACGTTTGTCATTTGTCAAGCTAATAAATAAAACTGTATACTACACAAATGTAGTTACGATTAAAAGAATTTTGTTGTTTTCTGTGAAAACTGATCAAAATTTTATTATACGTATCCACATTTTAAGTCAAAGGGTTATCTAAGCAATTTGCGATTGATATTTAAAAATAGGCAAGCATTATGGCGAAATTTTTTTTTTAATTCAAAATGCCGAAACAATGGCCGCTATGATTTTGAATTTTCTAAAAATAACATATTAAAACTTTAATTACATATTTTTTGTATTTGAATGATTCATTTAAATAAAATAATACTGTTTTATAGAAAAATATTGTTACACCAAATTCATTCAAAATGATTTTGCAATATTTTAGAATGTTGTAAACATTTTTTAAAAATTACAAACTATTGAGCAAAATCATAGAAAAAATGAGTTTGCTTTCTCATAAAGTAAGGATTGTGTTGGTGAAAATTTTCGATAGTAATTTTTTGACATATTTCCATGTAGTTTGACCTGAGGAGTCCAAAAAACGTTTTTAAAAAATTTAGGCTAGTCGGTGAGTACAAAAAGTGCACACAGCAAAGTCAAAGTGGTTTCTGATAATTTATTAAGGACTTCACATAAGAGCCCCATAGTTTGCTCTTGATTTCTTGTTGAGGGACATGTTATAAACAATCGTCAAAGTTTGAAACACAGTTTTTTGATGATTATTGCTTCCGGTTACATTGTAGAGGAAAAAGTTGTCATTGAAAGTTGTAGAGTTTGAAAGTAGCTTTCAAATAGCGGGTCTTAAATTAGAAAAAGGTAAATTTGTTTAGTTACAAATAAACTTATACCATTAAAAATAGCACTTTTTTAATTCTTTAATAACTTTGCTAATAATTATTGAATTTTTTCATAACTTATCAGGAATATTGTCCCTAAAAGGCTCAATAAATTAAGAAAATCTCACAGTTTTTTATCTAGAGAGTTAAAAATTGTCATACTTTTGTATTTTCACATGTAGATTACAGGAAAAATATAGCAAAAATGATTAGAATTGATCTTCATGTGGTTTACAGCGGAAAACTAAAATCTCTTTTTAATTTATTATTGATAATAATTTTACTCATGCTAGTTCTAACAATTCTTAATCTAGTATATTTTTATATTTAGGAACTCTCGGCTTTTAGTATGAGTTCAACTCGCACTTGTCCGTTTTTTTAAATTGCGTTTTAACGTTTAAAAATAATGCCGAACTTGAAGTATTGTGTCAATGTTTTCAGACGGATAGTGCATTTGAAGGGTGCGTTGTAACAAAGATGTATCCGCCAAAATGACACTTTAATGGTACGGTCACAGCTCGGCTGCCTGCCTGCCTGCAGGTCGTCATGGCAATACATAAGAGTAAGAGAGTCAGACAATTTAAATTATTCGTCTCCTCTCTCTTACTCTCGTGGCGGCTGCCTGCGCAGGCAGGCAGGCAGCCGAGGTGTGACCGTGCCATCACTTTTAGAGCTAAATATCAATAATTAATATCAGTTTATTGATAATCAAAAATTGTTTGTAATTATCATACAGTTTAACTAAGTAAAAATTTCTTACTGTTTTATTAAATTAGGTTAAACCTTATATTGTACAGAAAAGGATTTATAACGTCTTTGATGCGAATCTAACCTACAAAAAATTGTCTTTTAACGCTTTGTTACAGCGCACCCTTCATTTGCATTCGTCTCTTGCACTGAATCAAAAATCTGAAAATTAGGTTCGCTTGACGCTTCTTCCCATCCTCTCATTTGGTGAGGTCATCCATAGTTTTATTAGCAGGGTTCTGATTCTAAGTTTCCTTAAACTCCTTTAATCGATCTTCCAATTTTTTGTAAAAAATAATTCATTCCACTTTTTTGAGATTAATTCTGGAAATACAAGTTACAATTAAGAGTATTAAAATGGGTAAGAATACCTGAACTGGACTAATAAAACGACGCAAAAAAATTAATTGTTTATAACTTTTAAACGAGGGGTTTCTCACTCATGAAATAACGTAAAGTTTTGGCTCAGATCTTGTCATACTCTGTATCAACAAAACTACAATTATGTTATATTTCGTGAAAGTCTGTCAAAGTCTGTCACTGAACGCGTGCGCAAGGGATTAGGTAAAACGCTCAACTTTGCATGATTTCGTAAAAATCTGTCAAGCAATGTTTAAATGAATCCAACGTTTTTCTAGTGTGTTGTAATTAAAACTTTCACATAAGGAGAGATTATCACAACCATTGGGGGGTAGACTTTATCATCTACCCCTGATAAGTCATGTGATTCAGGGCCGAAAAATTTAAATATTTAAAAAAATAAGTTTGAAGATTATCATTTGTTTGTGCTGAAATATTTTATGGCATTGTGTCAGACTAATAACCACAAAAATGAGCAAAAAGTTAAAAATTTGTGATAAATTGAATATTATTAAGGTATTAGAAAAAGGTGTAGCCGACTCTACAATATCTGACATAAAAAAATAAAGAACAAATTAAAGAATATTCTGTTGAGATTATAAATACGGATGGCTCATTACAAAAATATACAAAAAATAATATTGAAAGTATGAGGAAAGAGAAAAAGCAATTTTTGCATGGTTGCACCAGAAACGTTTATATATTATTATATAAATATTAATATACTAAATAGTAAATATGTATTTCCAACTATTGGTAATATTTAAATTTTTTACAGTTTATTATTCTTTATTATTTTAAATTTAACAAATGAATGACCTAGAAAAACTTTTTTTTTATAATCACGGCCCTGAAGTCTCCGCCCAAGTAGGAGGAGATTTCAGATAATAGACGTCCTACTGTAATAAGAATCTATTTTATAATAGTCACAACGAAGTATCAGTATAGAATTACTAATAACTTAACAATGATTATGATGTTACCAACATTATCTGACTTATCAAAATTTAAATTATTTCGTCGCGCACCCGATGATGGAAAATGTGAAATTTTATTTATTCTTGTTCCTGGTTTGTTTGGAAATGAACTCTATCGAGAAAAGAACACCAAAGCTAATAAATTGATTAGAGTATATCCACCGCCATATAGTTTAGTTCTTCGTCACAAGTTAAATTCCTTAACTGGGCGAATACATGGATCTCAATCTCAATGGGAACAAGTAATAGAACAGCATTTACTTAATCCGAAGAATAAACTCTTTCCTGGAAAATCGATTAAATCTTACTTTGGACACTATATTTATCAGCCTCTGTATGATTTAATTTTAGGTGATATTGGAAAGCATAGACGAGTTCATTTAATGGAATTTACATACGATTGGCGCAAACCGCTTATTCAGGTTTGTAATGAATTACGCCATTTTTTACAAACTAAGTGTATTCTGGTTGAATATAAGCAAGCCAAAATTGTGCTTATAGGACATTCACTAGGTGGGTATATTGTGCGTTTATTAGTAGAATCATCGGATTTTTCTAGTTTTGACGGTATTGAACGCATAACAAAATGTATTTATGCATCAACCCCACTCTTTGGCCAACAACGACTTTTTCAATTATTTGAAAAAATATACGAGCTGCAAAAGACAAATTTTACATCAACCTTGTCGCTGCAAGAAAAAGTTTTCTGTGATACCGTAATTGATGAAATACGGGTACAAAAGTTGCGTCAACAACTACACGATATGTTAAGTGAGAATGTGTTTTTTGACAAATCCAAATTAATTGACTTTCTTTGCAACTTTAAACAATCATTAGCCTTATTGATTCGCCACGAAGAAATGAAAAACGTATCACTGGAGTGGATGTGCAATGTATTGGAAATAGATATAAACTATGCATTTTTTGTATATAGAACAACAGAATCATTATCGACATTAGAAAAGAAATGTGACTCAATCCTGTACGTATGCTGTTACAATATAAATAATGATCTTCTGCACAATCAATTAGGCCCAAACTATATCAATGATAAGTGTTTTTTATATACAGTGCACGAAATAGAACAAATGAACAAGTGTCGAAATTTCATCCAAATACGAGATACTTCTAAGCAACTTGATAACACTAACATTTTTTGTAGTTCATATGTATTACATCATTTAAAAGCAATATTGCTTGACCAATAAATAATATTACATTTCTTTACAGTGTGCTGCATTGTATTTCTGTATTCTCTTTCATTTATATTTTTAACTTCTTTTATTTTACTTTTCTAATTATTAGTTAGTTAAGTTTTTAATAAATATTGTTATTAGCTATAGTTAGATTTGGTTATTTTTAATATCATTTGCATTATATCGAGTCATTATTTTAATATTTTTGTTTTTTATATTCATTAATTTTCTTAGTTTACTTTCTCTATTTCCTTTATTTGTATTATTTTTTTGATGTGTTAAAATATAGTTTATTGTTAAATACTAAGTGTCGCCTCAAACCATTTTCATGTTTTAAAGATAAATAATTAGATATTTTAAGCACCCGAACTCCTTCCAATGAACATTTGCTCGATGACTGTGCAAATAATAAATTACGAACGGCAGAATTCTTTTTCAAGTTTTTTTATTGTTGTTGATCTAACGAGCTGGCAGGTTTAATTTAATTAAATTTCAATTAATTTAATAATTCGAATTACAAGGTATAACTTATTTTTATAAAATTAAAAATACTAAATTTTTATTTATTTTTAGGAAAATGAAATGATTCTCGTTTTGATGGATCATTTTTCAAAACCAAAATCTCAAAACAAAGGAAAATTAAGAAATTTTGTGCTTGGCAAAAATGCCGCGTCAAAATATATAATCCAGATTATACTTAATTGATTTTTTAACATTGTATGTAGGACACTTGACAAGGATTATAAAATTGCACTTCCAAGTAATATAACTTTAAAATTATTGATCATATTAATTTCGATTATGAAACTTGCATCAATATAATTGGTTACCCAGTAATAAGGGGTGAATTAAAGTGGATTGGTACTTTTATGCCCTTAAATTCCAAACCAATTCCGTTTTTGTCCGCAATCTTAATGAATTCCTTTTCTATTGTTAATTTGATCATTTCTATCCAATTCAATTCCCTGTAACCACGTGACCAGAGTCTGAATTCACTTTAATGCCGTTTAAGGGAATCATTTGTTGTGGAGTTAATGCCTTTTAATTAACATTGAATTCTTTAAAGGGCATTAAAGAAGTTTCAAATTCTGGTCACGTGGTTACAGAGAATTGAATAGGATAGAAATGATCAAAATTTAACAATAGAAAAGGAATTCATTAAGATTGCGGACAAAAACGGAATTTGTTTGGAATTTAAGAGCATAAAAGTTCCAATCCACTTTAATTCACCCCTTATTACTGGGTATTTTAAATAATAGATTTAGATTATTTTAGGTTTATTTAAAATAAATAAAATTTTGACAAAAAGTACTTACCCGCATAAGTGTAATAAATCATTATTCTTTTTAGACAGAAAATGAATTATAATTATTAAAAAATTTTTAAGTAAATATTGAAAAATGGCTACATGCAATTAATAATAATAAGCTTATGATAAACATATACATAATATTTTAATAGTTTAGAAGGTTTATCAAAATAACCTGTAGAAATTTACAAACCTGGGAAATTGAAATAGCAGCAGATGTAAAAAATTGTATTACAAATAATTTTCAAAACAACTTTAACCTCATAAATAACAATATGAAAAAAAAACATTTTACTATAGTAATAATCTCGAATTATAATTCAGTTCGATTTTGGGTTATAAAATTTATAATCTATTGTGAATACTAGAAATCATTCTAAAACATTGAAAGGTGGATAATATATTATAAAGGGTATTAATCAGATTATATTAAGTATGATCTTATTTTCTATAATCCTAATTGTATAATACACTTTTCTCCGTGAGCAATTAACATAAATTAGTTTTATTATATAAATAATTATATATTTTATAGAAGGCATTATCTGTCCAATAAAGTTTTATTTTAATATTTCAGATGAAATTCGTAGTAAATAGGTGCATAAACAGTATTATAATTATTCTGCTAAATTAAAAAAATTAATCAGCAAACAGAAAATTGCTAAGAATTACAATTTTTCTTACTTTTTTATTAGATTTTACAATCCAATTACTTGATTTACGCATATAACTTCACAATTCTTTTTATTTATAGTGTGTTCAGATAACTTTTAATATACTTCTATTACACACGTGGTCTCGAATGTGTGGGCATTTATATAATGAAGCACTGTTGTGTTTAAAATTACTTGACAATAGAAGCAAAAGTATGCTTATTATACTAATAAATATTAACAAAATGTAACCAGTGAAGAAGAAAAAGACTAATGTGACAATAAAGATTTCAAATAAAATCGTTTGTTGCAAATAATCAAATATGATTTCACAATTGTGGAACAATATATGAAATCCAGAATCCTTGTAAAACTTATTTAATAAAAACCAATATGTACACTTGTCACAAAACTCATAGATACTAACTAAATTGTTATTTTTAAATATATCGTCATCTTCTTTAAAATCAACTAGAATGCTTTCCTCATCACCATTTCCCGGATGCCAACGCTGTACATTGTTAATGTCTAAGAACCAATGATGTAAGAATGACAAATATGTGGTTGATCGATACTTTATGTAGAGTAAATTAGCTTTTACGTAATTGTTATTTACCGAATTGGTTGGAGAAACAATGTTATTGTTCGGAAATGCATATTCTGTTAAGTTACTGTTATAAAGCAGTTTAGAGTTTATGGAATTTATAGGCACATCGATGAACTTAAATTTTTCCCAGGGTTCTAAAGCTGCTATAATTTTTTCTGTTGAGTATTTATTTTCAAACATGGCGTTATTGTACTTAGTGACAATAATTTACAATAGTTATTTAATTTTTTTAGTTTGCGCTATTCTTTGAGCTTATTATATATAGTACAAATTATAACGACATGAATCGTTATTATTATTAACTTTTAATATTGACCATCACTTCGCTGTCTTTAGTAGAATCTGTCAACTTTTTAGTTGTAGATGGAAGACTAAACAGTCTGAAACCTGATTCTAGTTGGACAAAAGTCGAAAAATAAAATTTTTTAAATCATTTTTCTCTTAGTGATTTCATATTTAACCCCTTCGCAGTCAAGACCAAAATCTCATAAGTGGGCTCAAAATGTCGACAACTTTTTAGAAAACTAAAATTTGCGCAAACGAGCATAATATTGTATTTGGAGTCGCTGATTACGAATCCGATATCAGATTTTGAAAATTCAAAATGTCGGATCCAATATGGCGGACATGAAAATTAAAAATCGACTGAATTGACTTGAAACTCAGGGGTTTTCGGGGTCGCTAATTACGAATCTGATATCAGATCGAAAAAAAAATAAATTCAAAATGGTGGTTCCAATATGGCGGACAACATTTTCTAAAATTTATCGGATTTATTTGAAAATCGTTACACTGAGAAAACTGGAGTATTGGACTAAACATCTGGTGGGACAAATCGTTGATATTTGAGAGTTAGCTATTGGATAACAATCTAAATGTTCAAATACACAATTGATAGATATTCGTGCCATTTCTCTTGGAGGGAAAATGAGTTTATATTTATTTTATTAACCATCTTGAGAAATCCCTTCCTTATCCGGCGCGAAATGAATAAATGGCAACCTAACCCCTAAATTAAATACATAAAATGTCAGAAAAATAATTTCGCGCGCATCAGATCGTACACATTTTCTGCGCAACTTTTAACCCTCAGATATAATGGGAGAGAATATACAAGTAGATTTCCATTATCAATTCAAAATTTATTTTAGAAGGACTATTTAACTCTCTTCATAAGCAAAGGAAACATCCCAGTAAACGAAAACTAATTGAAATGAATTAAAAAGAATTCACAAAGAGCTTTCGTGAATCCCGCTTTGTGACAAATACGAATTGGAGCCATGATGCAATTTTCCTGAATTCGTGAAACTGTATTGAACTTCCGAACCTTCTATCCGTACCAATTCACTGGACAAGTTTTGAGCCTTTAATTTTTTTCAATTCGTTAGCACGAATTCAATGCATTCCTTGGCCATTTCTTTCGAATGCGAATTCGTTTGGACAAATTGGTACATATTGAATTAAATTCAATTGAATATACAAAGAGCTTGAGTGAATCCCGCTTTGTGACAAATACGAATTGGAGCCTACCAAAAATGTTAATTCGTTTCAATTCATTTGAATTAGTTTTTTTTTACTGGGATACACTTTTTGAACCTCTGAATTTGACTCTCCAGTTTTCTCAGTGTACTAGACGGTTTTCGCTGATTACGAAAAACTTTTGAAACGATACAAAATATTATTAATATTATTATTATTATTATATTTTGAAATACAAAATTTTCCCCCGCAATTGTTCTATATAATTACTCTTTTTAACTATAACTGCATCGGAAGCTCTTTCACTAACACCTCCCAGATAACAATGCGTGCACGCATATTTTGTACCTATTGGTGCGCACATAAATGCTTGCAAAAATGATTACTATAGATAAAGCTGCTTTGATCAAGCATTTAGTACTTTCCATTAGCACGCACATTCAAGCGCATCACAAAAAATGCGCGCCAGAATCCAGATGTACCTCTATGGAGGACACATATAATTATGTGTCGTCATATAAGCGCAGATATGACGCACGAATGTCTGCCTTATGTTTACCTACTGCAAGCATTTTGTTATCTCTTGTAAAGTAAAATTGATTGTTCCATCACAGATAAAAAATCGCGGTAATACACTGTAATAATTTAATATTTAGAATATTCCTTTAAAATAAGATAAAATCTTGTGTTTGAATTAAATTTATAATTTATATTAAATTATAAATTATTATTATATTCCAATATCAATTTAATAAAATTTCAAGTCAAAGATTAATCACTTATTTTCATTCTATAATTTTAATTTATTTAAATATAATTCTATCCATTAAATGTTAGACTTATAATAAATCTAGATGAATATACAATAAGTAAATATACACACGCGCACATACGTACGCAATTATTAAATTTAGTTATTAAAATAAATTATGATGGTGATAATCTATAATTATTAAATAACTCTAAAAGGAGATGTTTATTGGCAACTTAC